CCCAGGGAAGAGCCATCCGTGCTGTATTGCCGCCTCCCTGACATTTTCATGGAGTTCAAAGCTCAAGTTCGTTTGGTGCTGACATTTTGGATTAGCTGGTTGACTGGGAGGACTGCTTCTTCCTATACACTGTGAAATTTATAAACCACAGCAGCTGAGGGCTTAAAATGGCCGACAACCCCCAGCTGGCAGCAATTAAATACACCACAGACCTTTGGCTAGACAAAGGCTTATGAAGGCAGAGTTCCTGCATGTGCACTGAACAGGCTTGTGTTTAAACTTATCTTCATGTTGTAGTAAGGGACACTGGTAACTGAGAGATGAGGGAAAGTGTTTCCTACCTCTTGTGTAATGGTCTCTTACCCTAGAGTGGTCACACCAAGACTCCACCCAAATGGCAGCACACTGTGGCAGTGCAGGTGGCCACAGGAAAGGAGCAGAGCCCCAGGGAGACTGGGGCTGGGACACAGTTGGGAGCTGGAGCAGTTTAGACATTGCTTTCTATGCTGTACTTCCAATGGGGAGACCCACAGCGAGTCCACTTTTTTTTTTTTTAACTAGATTCCATCATCCTTTAGGGCACAAGGAGAAGATGGAGGGAGAAAACAGTAGGATGCTGTGTTACACCTATTTAAGCAGCAGGCTGCCCAGGGTGCAACTTAAATATCATTGAAATCAAGTTTAAATTTCTGTTACACTGGCCACATTTCAAGTGAAATGATCATGCTAGGTGAGTTTTCATATCCCGAGATCCAGTAAATACCATACACATCGACACATGTACCCATCTATCTAAAGATCCCCAGAAGACATGTATAGAATGTTCATAGCATCATCATTTGTAATAGCAAAACCTAGAAATAACCTGCATGCCACCAACAGAGAGGGGGATAACTCGTGCAGTAATCACATGGTGGATGGTAATAAAACAAGCACCGCAGATGAACTCTAGCTGCGCATGAAGGAACAGCCAGTCTCAGCAACATGACAGTGGTATCCATTTTCAAAAGCCCCAAACAACTAAAGACTGTAACAAGAACGTGGCAGAGCATACTCTAAAGTGTGATAAGACTGCCTAAGAAAAGTAGCACAGGATGATAAACATGGGTTCAGCACCACAGCTGCCTCAGGAAGAGGAGGAACTCAGCTGTACAACAGGAAACCACACAGCATCACTGTGGTCAGCAGTGGGGCGGGGGTGGGGGAGAGGAGGGAATGGTGGTTTCATAGAAAAAGCCAGTGATGCTAGTGGGCCCTGAACTGAGGATAATGATCAATCTAGCCCCGATGTCTAGATAAAAAGGAGGTGCAGGTAGGTGATAGAGGTGTTGCTCTCCTGGTGCTCAGACACTTGCTGGAACATGAACAGTGGTGACTTTCAGCAGTTAGTCACATAAAAATGACACTCCAGCCGGGTGCCAGTGGCTCACACCTGTAATCTTAGCTACTCAGGAGGCTGAGATCTCAGGATCGCAGTTCAAAGCCAGCCCAGGCAGGAAAGTCTGTGAAATTCCTATCTCCAAATAACCACCAGAAAACTGGAAGTGGTGCTGTGGCCTTGAGCTGGAGAGCTGAGGGACAGTGCCCGGGCCCAGAGTTCAAGCCCCACAACCAACAACAAAAAAAGAAGGCACTCCATTCTCCTGGGTCATAGCACATGAGCAAGTTTAGGGACTGTTACATAGCTTCTAATACTATTTGGATTCATCATATATGAATCCAAACAGTTGGGTCTTACAGTGAATGTCACTTTTATAAACTGCTGGCTTGGGAGGTTTAGAAACAGGAACTGGTTGTTGTTAGTAAATTCTTTGATGTTTGGGTTTAAATTTAAGCCTGGCAACTTTAACCACTATCCTTACACCTACAGCCCACCAACCTTGACCTGAGAAGTTGAACTTTCAGTTGAGTTTTAGTTGAGATGAAAAACTAGTTTTGCAGGCACTGCCAATGATAAAATAGTAGGGGAGTATGGCAGAATTTCTTTAATCCAGCTTTCTGCTGATAGCAAGAGTATGACTAAATTACTCCTTGTTTATGTTTATAAGACTTTAGTGGAAAGCTGGTTGCTGGTGGTTCATGCCTATAATCCTAACTACTTAGGAAGCTGAGGTCTGAGGTTCACAGTTCAAAGCCAGCCCAGGCAGACAAATTCATGAGACTTATTTATTTCCAATTAGCCAACAAAAAGTCAGAAATGAAAATATGGCTCAAGCACCAGTCTTGAGTGGTAAAACTATAAGCAAGAGTGTAAGGCAGCCATGAGTTCAAGCCCAAGTACATGCACCAAAAATAAAGAAGACCATAGTAGAACACTATTTGCTTTCATAGCCAAATTTAGCTCTAGTTTCATGTGTCTTGACATGAAAAGCGAGCTTTGACTGCCACAGTGAGTCCCTCGTATTGAGCAGTGTTCCAGCCGGCCCTTGGTGTTTGGCAGCTTAGCAAGGGAGGGCCTCAGAAATAGGAGGTAGTATTCAGCCTGGTGAGAAAACAGATAAGAAAGGAAACATAGTGTTGTTAATCAGTGTATACTCACAAGAGAGCTGCTCTGCTCTCTGACCTTTTGGTGGGTTTGTAGATTTCAGGGTAGAAGATAATACATTGAGAGTAGAAGTAGTTTGAAGAAGGCCTGAGGAGAGGCCACAAAGCCAAGAAGGAACGGGAGCTTGTGGATGGGGGGCATGGTTCCCCACGTTGCCCCTGGGAAATGTTAACCCAGGAACTTGGAAGCTGATGCAGGCCACCTTGCTTCTCAGGCTGTCTTGTGTCCCGTCAGATGGGTGCAGGGCTCAGTACGTTTTCTCTCACATGAATACAAGTGTCTTGTAAGGACAAAGACACTTGTCCACAGGGGTGTTGACTTTATGACTTCCTTCGTGTACCTTGCCTTTCTCAGCAGACCAGACAGATACCCTTGACTTTTCTGTTAGAAAGATGGGATTCAGCTGGTTCATTTTTTGCCTTAACAACAGTTGGTAGCTTTCAAATCTCTGGTCTTTAAACTCTCCACTCAAGTTTGCATATCGCCTTTTCTTAGTAGCTCTATGACTAGCCTTAAACTTCTCCACCCACAGATGCATTCGTTCATAGACTCATCTGATTCCTTCTCCTGCTCCACTGGAAACCAGGCCTCCTCCTCATAGAGTTGACATGGTCGGTGGGTGTCAACCATATATTGAAGTTGGTTGGATGGGTGAGGAATTTGAATCAGATCTTATTGAAGAAGACAGGGATGAGACCCCACTATACATGCTCCTATTGGAGCAGCCTTTTGATTTCTGTATGACACTCAAGAAGGCTCTTCTAGCAGCCTCATGGATAAGAGGACAGTGAGACTGCTTGGGTCAGATGACTCACCAAACAAGGACACCAGGGGATTCACCAAACAGGCTACCTGGAGAAGACTACCCTAGCCTCTTCCCATGTGTCCCTTGGGGGGGGGGGTGCTTGCTGGCATCCTTCATGCAGCAGCTCTGAAGCGTTTCTACCAGCTGGCCGACAGTGGCTTCCTCTACTGCCCTCCACCTGCTTTCCACCAGGAATTGGGAATTAAGAAGGTTGACAATAGGCCTGACTCTTGAAGAGGGAATTGAAGCCAGGCACGGTGGGCATATGTGAGTGTGTGATACAAATGAAATTTAGCTTTTCTTACCCATTCCCCTAGTACAAATTGGTCTCTGCCTCACCCCTGAAGAACACCATGACTTGTGTTCAAGGAACCCTTTGGGGAAGTTATCACTGGCTTTCTGCATGTCCAAACATTACCAGGTATAGGGTTGTCCTTTAGGCACCATGTCTAGCTGGAGCAGACCTTGATCTGGGCCCAACCATGGCAATCGATGATCCTGGCTTTTTAGGTCACACAGCCTATAGCAAGCTATATTCTTTCCATATTTCTGCCCCCTTTTCCCTTCCAACCACTCTCCATACTGCTGTTGGTGTACAGTTCCAAAATGCTGATTCAGTGTGCAAGGCTGCTCCTCTCTTCGAGGTATGTCTAGAGAGAAATGTTTTGCTTCAGTGGGTTCCAGGAACAAATAATAAAAAGTACAACAAGTACAAGGCCGAGGACAGATCAGTACTCTCTTATCAGTCATCTGAAATATGCACAGCTTTTCCAACACAAATATGGACTCCTGTTTCTAGGAAAACACCAAAAAGTATTTATCAATTACCCTGTCTATGGCTTGTGGAAAAAGACAACAGCAGCCGACCCCAAAAGCCATAGCGAAGCAGATTCCTTTGGGCAGCCCACAGCCGAGTGGCCTGTGATAGGGAAACTGCAGAATCCTGCTGTGGCCTGAGACTGGTCCTTGGAGCCTCTTTTTCCCCCACAGGGTTGCTGCATTTCTCATCCCTTTTTTTTTTTTCTTTCCCCCTGACAGTCTTAAGCTTAGGGCCTGGTTACTGTCCCTGAGCCTCTCTATGCTCAAGGCAAGCACTCTACCACTTGAACCACAGCACCACTTCCAGTCTCTTCTGTTTATGTGGTGCTGAGGAATCAAACCCAGGGCTTCATGCATGCTAGGCAAGCACTCTACCACTAAGCCACATTCCCAGCCCTACATTTCTCATTCTTTACTCAGGCATGATAACTAGGATACCTGAGCTCCTCTTAGATGGAGCTAGAAACATGACAAATTGATAAAGCCTAGGGCCTCTGGGTCTTCTGACCCATTGTCCACAGATGGTCCTCTCAAAGAGATTTCTAGAAAAGCAGGATATCACCTGTTCCCCAGAGAAGAGTGAACCTGAGAATGCAGGAAGTTAGCTAATGAAACCAGAGCAATAGTTGTAAGTACCCAAGCCAGGTTCCATGACAGAGGGAGTCTAGCTGTACCTTCCAACTCCTGGTAGACACTCAGCGATTTGCTTGGGCCTGCTGAATGTGGAGCATCTTCTGCACTGAGGAGTGCCTTCTTAGGTGATGAAGGGAGAATTTCACTTTCACCTCAACACTTAACCTCTTTGCTTCCTGTTTATTTGCCCCTCTCTAGGACCCAAGCACAGAGGGTTCGGAAACCACGCTGCTGCACAGGACCCCAGGGGCTGCTTCCTCGCTACTCTGAGAGCCAGGCAGAAGGACAGGAACAACTCTTCAAACTGACAGACAACATACAGGATGAGTTGTAAGTAGGAGCTGTCAGTGGGGAACAGCCCTGTTGAGCCAGAGTTGCCTCTTTGGACAGAATCTGAGGAACTTCCATGTGATCTGAGCCGCAGTCTGACTCTGAGCTTGGAAGTGGCAAAAGGATTCCTTGTCCCAACTGTTTGCTAGGTATCAGCCTTACTGCTTTTACACACTTGTACTACAAGTGTCTTTCTGAAACTATGTTCCACACAGTTACGTTTCTGAAACCTGACTGTCTCTGTGTAGACAATTCAAAGGCAGAGGTTATAGATGAAACATTTTTAATCTTTTTCAATCTTTATTGTAAAAGTGATGAACAGGGAGGTTACAGTTACATAACATTTTCAGTCTTACCAACTTTTTTCCTGTAAAGTCTTCTTAAACTTTGATGTCCTGTTTGTGCTACAGAATGCCAGCAAAACAAAACACAAATATTTCAGAAATGTGATTTTCTTTAGTTTTGTTACTCTTTAGATACTGGGCTTTGTGTACCTGAGGGTCTTGTCATAATTTCAGGGGTGAAGTCATTGCTAGCTGCTATGGTAGATGTGTCACCTTTCAGTATATTCTGCAGAGACCCCTGGAGTAGGAAATGCTCTGTAACTTGATTAGAATCACTGCCCAGAGAAAGGTGTTTTGTCTGAAGAGCCACAAAATGCTAGTTTTGTTTCCTCTAACATGAAGCAAGCCAGGAAGGGTCTGGACACAATGAATGTTTCTGATCAGTGGAGGAGTGGCAAACAGCGGTTAGCTCCTCAGGTACTCTTCAGTGTCATCAAACAGTATTTTATTGAGATACAGGAAGTAACATCTAGGACTCACGTTTTGCTTGCTGGATAGAAGAGCATCTTCCTAGAGTATCTCATATAACCCACCCCCTCACAGTGTTATTGGAACATCTGTTGATGATAGTATTTCTCCCAGTTCTGAACTGGCAGCTGGAAAGATGGAGATCAAGATGATCATCTTTCTGAGGAGGGCCCTCTTTGAGGTGTGCAGACAGCCTCCTTCACTCAATGTCCTCTCCTGACAGAGAGAGGAAGCTCTGCTTTCTGTGTTGTAAAGACATTAAATCTGTGGGATCAGACCCTCAGCCTCCTGACTTCATTTCAGGATTTCAGCATATAAATTTGGAGGAGAGCGTGGTTCAGCCAAAGCACGCTTCATGAATAGGTTCTGCTGTTGTACTGTGTAGCCTCAGCTCTAGTCACTGCTCTGATACTCAGGACCTTTGTGCTGCTTTACTCTAGGGAAGATTTTATGTTCCTCCTTTTGAGGAATGGGGATTTGGTGCATCATCTACTTTTCATGCTCCTTTGTTGAGGGAACTTAGGACCTCTAGATCAGAGACCCAAAGAGTCATTTCTTAGCAGGCACCAATGTAGTCTGCTAGAATGGAGGCTTTAGGAGGGTTGGAATTTTTGTCTGCCCCTTTCATTGGAGAAGCCCTCAGAACCTGGCATGGACAAACCACAAACCACACTCAGCACATTAAGGCAGACAGGGGCAGTTTAACATTTGTATCAACATGTGTCCACATTGCATCTTCTGGGGCTTTTCTTTTTTCAAAGTCAGATTGTAAATTAGTATACACTATGCTTTATATTTCTTTCCCAACTCACCTCTGTTCAACTTGAACAATCTCTGGTTCTTGAGAATGAATCTTGAGAAGATTCATTTTCAATAGAATGGTGTGTGACAAAAACTACAACGAGAAGTTGTGTAGGATTATCTCAGTGACGATGTGTGCTCCGGACGTAGCCCAGGAGAGCTGAACACTGGAAGCAAAATGAAATCAGTGAGAGATTTCATGAAACTCTTGAAATCCACATGAACTCATAGCAGTTATTGATGCCAATGAATTTTGACTTAGGAGATGAAAACCATGTGTCTCCATCCCAGTTGTGGGTTGAGTCTGCCCAGTGAGTGCTGAGGGAAGCACGTGATGGTGATCTTCCTCAGGGCCTAGGAAAGAGGTCACCAGGGATGCTGGTAAACATGTCTCTGAAACAGCCTCAGCTATCAGCCTGTTTTCATGGTGGTGGGAAATTATAGTCATTGCTCTCCAAGAAAGAAGTTTTCAGGAAAAAAGCACGGGCCCAAGTTAATACCTCCAACTTTTATCCTAGATTTGTAATTAAAAGCATGTTTAAAGACCTAATTATTTGCATATTCCCCTTCAGAGTTAACCCCTTAAAAGGGTCTCTAATACCTTGCTCTACTGTTCTAACTAAATGTTTCCACATTTTTTTCCAGTTAGACTCACTTTTCACTTCTGGAAAATATTGTATAATTACTTCCTGATGGAGTGCAAGTACCACAAAGTCCCCCATACACAGCAGTTCCAACTTTGTTCTCTCAGATCAAGTTGTATTTAGTTTGTTTCATTTCATTTCATTAATTATTATTAAGAAGATAGATACTGACATGTGATTAAGGTCTGGTGTGCTAGAAGGCTTCATTTTCAAACTAATCAGGTATTTCTGTGGCATGTTATAAAGTTACCATTACTTCATTCTCAATTTTAACCAGAATCTTGGATTAAAAATAATGTTAAAATAACAGTCATCCTGGGTTTTGTTGTTGTTGTTGTTTGTTTTTTATGCCAGTCCTGAGACTTGAACTAGGGCCTTGGACACTATCCCTGAGCTCTTTTGTTCAAAGCTAGTGGCCTATCACTTGAACTACAGCTTTACTTCCAGCTTTTTGGAGGTTAGGAGATACAAATCTCATGAACTTTTCTGCTCAGGCTAGTTTCAAACTATGATCCTCAGATCTCAGCCTCCTGAGATCTGAGCCTCTGGTGCCCAGCCTGAATGATTTTTCTCACTAATGCTTATATGTGACTAGAGTCTTGTTTTCATATTGAAAAGTAAGTCCTTGTTTTGATTCTGATATTTCTAGACCAAGGTACACACTCAGATGGCAAGTACAGGGTAGTTCTGACCTTTCTCGGAGAAGACCTGAGAAGCTGATCTAGCCTGTTGCTTTCTGAAGTGGGTGCACTGGATTTCCTGATCAGTTATGCAGAAGTTGTATTTATGAGACTTATACAGACAGTTTTTTAAAGAGAGCAAAAAATAGCCTCTCCTGTGCATGGTTGGCAAATTCAAGTTAAGAGTCAGAGTGTCCTTTCCTGGCCCCTTGGTAGATTCAGTTTATGCTGTATTGTGTCTCGACCTTCTTCTTCAGACATTACAGAGAAAAATGAATATGCATTTTTAGTACAAGTCATGCTACTGATTCTAATAGCTTATAATTATAATGTACGCCTTACTTACAGTGTCAACCAAGACAATAGATCTAGTCCTTCTTAGGAATAGGATAGAACTCACTTGCTCCTATTTTTTTTCTTCTTTATTGTTTACTCCTTTCTGACTTTTTTCATCATTCCATTCTTTTTCTCACTGCTGAGAATAGAGCCCAGGACTCCACACATGCTCTGCAAGTACCCTGCCACTCCAGCTTCCATTTTCCAGGCCAGAAAGTAATCTGTCGATAGCTATTGGCACTCTCGGACTCCCCAGCTACTCTGATAAACTTTTTGGCTTGCTAAATCTTCACTAAGTTAAATCACAAGTTTGAAATGAATTCTTTAAGTTGACGCTTGATGGAAAATTCTGTTGGAACTTGTGGTGTTACTTCACTACCATTTTCTGAGACTCCTAACACATAACTGTGTTAAGTCCTGCCATGTGCCAGGACAAGTTGAGAATTTGCCTGGTGCTCAGCGAGGCCACAGTTGATCCAGGCATGCTGACCGTATTGATTACCCACTTCCTGTAGCTCAGTCACTGTGAAGTCTGGCCACTAGAGAAGGTGATGAATTGGTGCCTGGGTAGCCAGGAAAGGCTTCACAAAGGGGGCTGTGGCAGTAGCCTGGCCTTGCAGAAGACATGTGCGAGGACGAGACTGGAGAAAGGCACAGAGCATGTCTGGTGATGGTGGGTCCGCCCGGATTGGCCTGTGGCGCCTAAAGAGTTGTAAAGGTAACTCCCAAGGCCTGACCTTTGTGGTCAAGTAAGTCTGTTTACCCAGGAGGCAGCAGTGAAATTTTGAACATCGTCCCATTCAAAATTGCATGTTGAAACTACAACCTTGAAGACAGCAGAGAAAGGGATGTGTTAGAGAAACAGAGGCAGAAAGCCCTAGGAAAGCTGTTGGAGTGACCCAGGAAAAGGGTAGGGTGGTCTGTATACACAGTGGTAGGATGGTGAGTAGAAGGGGCAGTCTCCAGGGATGTGGGGAGGAGGCCTTGGCATGGTCCTAGGCTAAGCTGACGAACTTCAGGGTCTGAGGAAGGAGAACTTGGCTCTTGCCCATTTGGTTGGTGAAGAAGAGAAGGTCAGCTGTGGGTGTGCTGAATGCAGAGGGCTGTGGGACTGGCCGGAAAGGATGGCCAAGGAGAGCCTGGCCCACACAGTGACCTGGGCACAGGCACGGGCTTGGGGATCCCTGAAAGGCAGGAGAGGATGCCTGGAGCGGGGGGGTAACCTGGGACCCTTCTGGCTTTGAAATGACTCCATGGGGAGCAGAATAAGGATATGTAGAGGGAGCTAATAAGGCATAAATAGAGCAGTTCAAATGGTTGCATGGCAGATGCCTGGGCAGATATGGGGCCAGAACTGCTCGTGAGAGTATGTGAGTACGGCGTGTGTGTGTGTGTGTGTGTTCACAAAATTGAGGTAACTTGGCACTTGACAACAGAGGAAGTACTGGCTCAGGGTTTCTTCTTGTGTGTGTGTGTGTGTGTGTGTGTATGTGTGTGTGTGTGTACGCTACCACTGGCTCAGGGTTTCTTCTTGTGTGTGTGTGTGTGTGTACGCTACCACTGGCTCAGGGTTTCTTCTTGTGTGTGTGTGTGTGTACGCTACCACTGGCTCAGGGTTTCTTCTTGTGTGTGTGTGTGTGTGTGTGTGTGTGTGTGTGTGTGTGTGTGTGTGTGTGTACGCTACCACTACGCTACCACTGGCTCAGGGTTTCTTCTTGTGTGTGTGTGTTTGTGTGTACGCTACCACTGGCTCAGGGTTTCTTCCGTCCGGTCAGCACAGAGCCCTGCCGGGTAGCTGTGTAACAGTCCTCATTCTGCAGCTCTGGGCAGGAACGCACAGCCCTGTCTGACCAGCATGGGGCCCTGGCTCTGACATCGTAGCTGTTCTGGACTTGGCATGCCACACTGAGGCCTGGGCAGTCACACGCACTGCTGCTTTCAGGAGGAACACCATGCTTTGTAGTTATGCTTCTTGGTAGCAGTAGTAGGTCTTCCTCTTTGGCCTTCATCTCTGGAGACCTTGAAGCCTCCTTCGGGAGCTCACAACCTGCCCCATGTGCTCAGGCCTGAGATCATTTTTGGGTTTTCTCTGTTAGCACCTGTCCATCCTCCAGAGGGTGGTCTGAAGCATGTGCCACACAGCCTGCCTTCCTCTCGGGAGATGCACATGGCACTGACCTTGTGCCCAGAGATAAAAGAAAACTTTTAACCCAACTTTAAAAAGTGGGTGAAAATCCTGTTTTTCCTGGTCTCAATTGCAGTTTGTCTAACAGCCTGGAATGTGTGGACAGAGCTGGGGCCTGCCTTGGCCTTGCATGGGAGAACAAAGCTTACTCTGGTGCTTTGTGTTTCTAGAAGGCCATTCTCCTTTCCTTCTGCTGAGTGGCCCACCTGGGGCCATGCTGGCATCTCTCCTGTATGACCCACCAAATCTTCCAGTGGCCACTTACTCTAGAGCAATTGCAGTTCTGTGCAAAGTGTGGCCATAGGTATGAAGAGTAGAAACCTGAGTTCACGCGCCAAGCTGAGTGTCCAGCTTTGGCTGCTATTGTTCTGCCGACATGACCGGGAAGGGGGTGGGGGCTTCAGCAAGCCTGTGGAGAGCTAGCCAGCAGGTAGATAGCCAGGGAGGTGGGTAGTGGCCTGTGGTCAGCAAGAAGGAGAGTTGAGAGGGCTCTGCGTATGCCAAGCGCCTGTGTCCCAAGCTGTGGCTCCTCTCAGTGACGTTTGGGATGGCTGTTGGTGAGTGGAGAGGCCTGCTCTGGAGTATTTGAATGAATCTCTGATGCGGGTTCCGGGTTTTATGAAAACACCAAAATTGGCAATAAGTGAGTCTGATGGATGCAAAGCTTTGGCCGTGGGTCGTGGGGTACAGAGGAAGCATCTAGAGGAAGATGGAGAGACAGCTGTTGGCTGCCTACTTTCAGGGTCCACAGCTGGTTCCCTTTCTTCTCTCAGTCATGCCCTAGGCTCTGATCTCCTTTTGATAGGAAGACTTTAGGATATTTCATGTAAATGTATAAAATATGTATTTCTCAGCAGCAGCTCCAGGCTGTGATAGGGAGTAGAGATCTGGGGCCCCTGGACTTGAGAGCAGACATCTGGGCAGATTTACAAAGTCGCTGTTCTCTGCCTGGGTGTCTGTGTGGTCGTGGATGCCTCTGACTTTCATACCAACCAAAGGCAGCTGGAGGTGGCCTCACCTCTTGAGAGAGCTGAACAGCCTGAGCCACTAGGAAAACAAGCAGCCTGGCCAGTGTCCCCAGCTGCTGAGGTCTCCCCTGTCTGCTCAGCCTTGTCTCCTTTACCCTGCCCCTGCCTTTCGGGAGAGCCTCTGGGAAGGGCGCATGCTTTAAAACTGGCAAAGCTATTGCTGCATGGACAGTGCACTCAGTGCCGGCCCCTCTGACTGGAGTGGCATGGGGTCAGGGTGACAGATAGAAATGCCAGGCCCAATACTGGATAGGAAGCCAGAAAGCCAATCTCTCAGCTGGACATACACCGCAACTCCTGCTGTCACACTGCCTGTGGCTGCAGGCAGCCATCTTCAGTCTCCTCTGGGTTGCCATAGCAGCATCCCTTGGCTGTCAGAGCCCCTGTGCTCAGGAATGAAGCTATTTTCCCCATGAGTTCCCACCCGCAGCATGCTGCTGCTTCTCTGGGGCAGGGAGCCGGTTCGCTTTCTGCGGCTGTCTGTCCTGCTTTCCCCTGGACCAGGTGTTTTGCCTTCATTCCCCTCATTCAGGCGTGCAGCTGCCTGGTGGTGCTGTCAGAGGGGATGTGTTAGGAAGGTGAGCTAAGTGGCCTGAGCACCACCCAGGGCTTCTCATTTTGGCAAGGAGACTTTGCAAACCTACATTCCCAGCCAGTGAGACCAGAACAGCAAGTCCTCTTCCTTGTGTTTGTCATGAGGCAAAATGACAGCTCGGATAGGCAGACAGTGCAGCCCCAGGGGCTGGCCAATTCAGTGGTGGGCGCAGGCATGGACCTGGGAATCGCAGGCTGTTGGGTATAAGCCCCTCTCTTGGTTTTTGTTTGTTTTTTTTTTTTGTGTGTCGGTCATGGGGCCTGAACTCTGGGCCTGAGCACTGTCCCTCAGCTCTTCAGCTCAAGGCTAGCACTCTACCACTTGAGCCAAAGTACCACTTCCAGCTTTTTCTGCTTACGTGGTGCTGAGGAATCGAACCCAGGGCCTCATGCATGCAAGGCAAGCACTCTACCACTGAGCCACCTTCCCAGCCCCGAGCCCCCCCTCTCTTACAGGGCTTAAAGCTCTGTCCAAGAGCCAAGAGGCTCACCTAGCACACACAAAGAACAAATTTACATTTGGCAAAGCGTTGAGAGGTTAAGGCAAATGAAGTATTCAGAAGTAGAGGAAGAGCCTGAGTATTTGGGGACTTTGTGGGGGCCGGCACTGACCCCTGCAGAGCAGCTGAGGGGGAGGGTCCTCCCTGCACAGAGGTGGGCAGTTGTCCATCCGGCCAAGTGGCCAGGGCCACCAGCAGGCTGGCCTTCTGCCCACATGCATATGCCTCCTTCAGAGCACCTTGGACCTGCTGACCCAGAACCAAGGCCTTCCTGGACCATGTTCCATGGAGACCTGTGCTTGACAGCCAGTCTGTTGTCAGCTCCTAGTGTTCTGTCATCTGTCCTCTTTTGTCTTCTGATGCCTCAGCCCTGCTGTGACGGCCAGCACAAGGTGCAGAGGCTGCCAGTGCTACTGCCCTTCCCTCTGTAGCTAAGCAGAGAGGCCTGAGCCACATACATCCCTGCTTTCAGTTTGTGAGGTTTGTTTGTTTGTTTGTTTTTTAATATACTGGTCCTAGGACCCTAGGGCCTGAACTCAGGGCCTGGGCCTGTCTCTGAGGTTTTTTTTGCCCAAGGCTGACACTCTTAACATTTGAGCCACAGCTCCACTTCCCACCTCTCGGTAGAATTTCCTCCCTGGGCTGGCTTCAAACCGTGATCCTCAGATCTCAGCCTCCTGAACAGCTAGGGTTACAGGCGTGAGCCATTGGTGCCTGGCTCAGTGTGTTTTGTTTTGTTTTTAACATTAGAATTTTTCTTTCTGGATATCCTAAAATGCTTAAATGACTAAAAGTTCTGAAGATTGCAACTTTACTCAAGAAAATGATTTCCAACGAGGGTTTTCTGAGCACAGAGAGGTCTCATGAGCTCTGCACCCTGGCAGTCCTGCAGGATGGAGTGACCTCTTGTCAGTGCTGCCAGGGGAAGGAACAGACACAAGTGTGCAAACACGGTGGCTTCTGCCATCTTCTTGGGCCCATGTTGCCGTCCACGGACATCCCCCAGCCAAGTCTTTCTCCTTCTGTCCACGCGTCCCCGGGCACATCTTGCAGCCTCGGTATTCACCTCTCACACATTAGCTGCCCCATCAGTTTACCACTGAAAAGCATTGTTTCCTTTCTGTCCAACTAAGGTTGTCACAGTTTTCTCTGTTTGTTTTTTTTTCACCAAGTTTTTCCCTACCATCAAAATTTTTACCTGCTAAATAAACATCCCACAAAACCCCATCTCCGAACAGGGAGCTGTCTCCATTGCTGGGCTGCTGGCTGCTGGGGCTCACTGGTGTTTAAGGAGCGGGCACCCTGCGGCAGGGGCTGTGCTGTCTGTGGTCCTCAGAGCAGCCCCTGGGCCCGGGTTCCTCCAGCCCTCGCTTACAAAGAAGGAAACTGAGGCCCAGAGCAATCCAGTGGAGCACCTGGGCCTAAGCTCAGGCCTTTAGACCCTGGAGTCCACAGTACCCCTTTCTGTTGGCCCCACACCAGGAAACAGCCTGGCCTCCATGTTTCCTCTCTTTCTGTCCAGCTTCATAGCCGTGGAAAACATCGACAGCTACTGTGTGCTCATCTCCTCCAAAGCCGTATACTTCCTGAAGAGTGGCGACTATGTGGACAGAGAGGCCATTTTCCTTGAGGTCAAATACGATGACCTCTACCACTGCCTCGTCTCCAAAGATCATGGGAAGGTGTATGTGCAGGTGACCAAGAAAGCGGCGAGCACCAGCAGTGGTGTGTCCATCCCAGGCCCATCCCACCAGAAGCCAATGGTGAGTCCTGCAGCTGCTCTGCCGCTCTGTGGGGGGCAGCAGCCCTCCTCTCCTGCACTTTCCCACAGGGACAGGGAGATGGGAAGGAGCAGGCACTCCCCCAGCACGTGTGCTTGCTCACGCATGACGTGACCAGGGAGCGAGCCTCCTGGGCCACATGGGAAGAACCATGAAGGCAGGCACAGAGCTCTCTGTTCCTGAGAGGTCCAAGGCTGCGATGGAGCACATATTGTGCTGTTTACTGGTAACCGTGGAAACCATGCCTTTCAGTCTGTACCGAGAAGCAGTGCCCTGCATGCTCCGTAGGGTTTGTAAATAAAAACTACCTGCTCCAAAGGGTGGTAGGAGGACCCCTAAGTAGTAAAGTTTCCGTGATTGCCACTGTTGGTGAGAGGCTCCAGCCTGCTTTTGGAAGGATGGGAGTTCCAGAATGCCAGAAATGCAGCCAGCCCTGCTGGGCTTCTCTCCTCAGCAGCCCTTTCCCCTTCCCTGCTCACAGATGCCCTTGGCTTGGTTTGGGCTGTGCAACTTCCTAAGTGAGGTCTGGAGAGGCAATACCCCAAAGTGGGAGTTTCCTCCAGCTCCTCTTTGTGGAGAGGAGATTGCCCAGGTCCATTTCCCCTTTCAGGGCAGCTGGCAGTGCTGCGTTCTGGCCTCTGCAAGCCAGCAGGCCTTTGACTTAATCATAGGTGGGGCCCAGGGTTACTGCCTCACCCCCTCAGATCGGACTGGCCTGTTATAGGTCCCAAGTGGCCATTGATTATGAGTTGGCTGCAGTCACCAGGGAATACATTAAAAACTCAGATTCTGGAGATGTTTGAATCCTGGTGAGCCAGAGCAGGCTCCTGGGAACCATATGGTCCCCACAGGAGCTGCTGTGGGCGGGAGGGTGGCTCAGCCCGTGACCCCCTCAGGCTGTGTTGCTTTTCCCTCCTCAGGGTGGGTGCTCATTCTTGTCTCCTCTTTAGGTCCATGTGAAATCTGAGGTCCTTGCTGTCAAGCTGTCACAAGAAATAAACTATGCAAAGAGCCTTTACTATGAGCAGCAACTAATGTTAAGACTCAATGAAAATCAAGAGCAGTTGGAACTGGACTCCTGAGAACGGCCAGCCAGGGAGAGGTGCTCCAGAGAGAGCCCAGACCACCGAGGCCAGTGCCCAGACTCGTGGCCCGAATGGGAGGGGGCCAGAAGAAGGTTTGAGGGAAGATGTCACTTGGGAAAGGAAATCCTCACGGGGAAAGCTTCTAATGCAAACGCAAATGGTATTCACGTGTGGGCTGGGAAGTACTCCAGATTATGGGGGAATCATTTTTAAAAGGTATCAGTTGAATAACGTACAAGGAAAACATACTGAGAGGAGTCTCATTTTAGATTATCCCTGTTGACATGTAAATATGTACAACTGTGTGTAAATACAAGCTTCTGAGCAGGGTTGTGATGTGCGTGAAGGTTTGTTACCTGTAAAGTAATATAAAATTATACTGGATCTTCTATTGCACTAACTATATGCCATTCAGGATACTCTGTAGAAAGAGGTTCATAAAAGTTAAAGAGTGCCATGTCTACGTTTTGCAAACACAGGAAGGGGGTCAGGTGAGCTCTAAGTGTGCTAGGGACCCTGTATAGCAGCCGCTGGTCACACAGGTGGGAGCCCCACCCCAAGGATGGAAGACTGCACAACGTCTTGGTCCCCATCTTGTTCCCGCCTTACAGATAGCACTTCAGCTACACGTGGTTTTTTTAATCTCAACATGCACTTGCTTTCCCCTGACTTGGAGATGAAGTTGTCTTCTGGCTCCGTACATGCACGCGCCCACGTACTGTCAGCATTACCTAGTTTTCTCGTGCCGTTATCAGAGATCATCAAAACACTGGCCAGCTCTGTTGACATAGAAGGAAAAGAAAGCCCATTTCTTTGAACTCTTTGTCAGACAATCAGAAGTCCTGGGTGGGAAGTAAGGCCCTCCTTCCCAGGCACCAGCGATGGGAGGTGCTCCATCTTGTTCTTTTTATGGAAAACATGAGCTGGCATTACAACACATGTCCTGGGAACACAGGAATGATGGTACCAGGACAGGGAGAAGGAGGAAGAGAGTTTGGGAAAAGGAAGTGAAGCCTGAGTGTTCCTCCCAGAAGCAGGATTGAAGGCTGGTGTGGGTGCCTATTCTTTCCTGTCTTGTTCTCTGCACCTCCCTTTTCTGGAAGGAATAAGCTAATGAAAGGTGGGGGGGGGTCTCACTCTGAATGACTCTCCTTGTGATTTTAGAACTTTTATTTTAATAAAGCCAACCTATTTCTACAACCTTGTCACATGTAGCTGAGATGGAGGTGACCCCATGGATATGTGGAAGGTTTTGGTGATTATATCTCATGACCCAATCCTTTCACAACACAAATGAAGCTCATCAGGCTGTCTCTCCTGCTGTCTGTGTGTGTGTGTGTGTGTCTGTCTGTCTGTCTGTGTGTTGGGAAGGAGGACGGGAGGAGAAGAGAGAAGGAAGGTAGGTAGGAAGAAAACATCTGTATGAGTGCTGTAACCAAATAATATTTTCAAGGAACATCCACCTTGAGCTCTGCAGCTTGAGGGCCTGCCTGAATGGAGTGAGTGGCTCGCACTGCTGGAGCGTGGCTCTGTGTCGGGCAGGTCTTTGGTGGGTTGGCGCCTGCTTGCTGGGTCGTCAGTGTGATGGTATCAGCGCTCACGCTTGCTCTTCCATCAGCCGCCTCACAGCCTGGGTCCCTGCACCCACAGCTGCCTTGTGGGTTTTGTCATCAGTAACTCACTGCCAGAGGCCACGTCGCACAGAGGCTCTCCGAGAGGTCGAGTGCACACAGCCCAGAGCCCTGTATTCCCGGCTGGGGAAGGAACTGCTGTTACTAAGAGGAGTCTGCTCAGGTTCTCAGCTTGACTGCAGGAAGGTAGCTGGGGTCACCCCACAGCTGGTGCTTCCGGAGAACGGGTCCCTCCTCCTGCTCCTTTCTCCTGAAATCAGCTCTTTAAATAGCAGCCCTCCCGCTATGGTGGCACAGCCGCTGCTCTGACATCTGTGCCTTAGAAAGGGCACAGGGGCCCAAAGACTAGATGGCTGGGACTGCAGGGCTGAGAGCACCCGCCATGAGCTGCCCAAGCCCTCCTCCCTCCCCTGCAGCCCTGGGCCAGGCCCCAGGAAGAGTCTAGGGGCTTTTACCATCGCTTCCTGGTTTGTCAGGACAGAACTGAAAGATCTGGACCAGTCAGTCAGGCCTTGTGCTGGCTCTTCGAACATCCCATGGCTTCTGAAACTGGCATTTAGCTGGTGATGTTTGAGACTTGGCTAAGACAGTTCTACCAACTTCCCTGCTGCCCCCCCACCACACACACACCTTTCTCCTGTGAGGAAAGCGCAGTGCATGGATGATTTGAGGAGCCTTCAGTAGTCACCTTGTTCCTTGACCCCGAAGGGCCAGCCAGCATCCCAGCCCCAACTGTCCTGTGCTTGGTTGGGGTACCTTTGGTGTTTAGAAGGCTCCTGGGCCACGTTGTTTTCAAATGTCATCTATCTGTGCCTCAAAAATCCATAGTCGCTGCTTGATGAACTGAAAATAAACTACCTAGTTCTTCACTGTATAACACTATGATGATCACCAGTGTGTTCCGACTCTGTAAACCTGCTTCTCAAATCAGAGTCACCACTTTTCTTCCTGTGGAATAAAATGTATTGTTGACTTCTCAAAAAGAGTGTCTTCTGGTTTCTTGGTGTTCTAAAAGTCCTAGATAGATCACGAGTGACAGATACCAAGCATAGCTAAACCTTTACAGCAAAGCTGCTACCCTCTACCCAGGAAAGTACCCGGCAGGCAGATACCCTGGAGGATCCTCAGCCTCAGGAGTGAGCGGCTCCAGCAGCTCCAGGCTGGCTGCTGCTCCCCTGGCCACCCCTAAGGCCTTTGGCTGACATCATCATTCATCATCCAGACAGATGAAGAGGAGGTGGGTGGGACACTGGAGACAGAGCAAGGATCCCAGGCTCTGGGGCTGGGAAGGTTTCAAAGATAAACAGAAGGAGGATGCGATTCACAATGGATTCAGCCAAGGGAGCATCACTGGAGACCTTCCTAAGAGCTTCTGTGGACTGATGGGTGAAAGCCCCGAGGGCTGGGAAGGTGGCTCAGCAGTAGAGCATGTATCATGCGCAAGGCCCTGGGTTCAATCCTAAGAAAAACAAAAGAGAATTTGGAGACACTAGAAACATGGATAACTGTCTAGAGGAATCTGTCGCCTCCAAAGGGAAATCTGTCCCTCCAGCGGGACACCCGTATTTCCAGATACTGAAGGGGCTGAGACAGGAGGCTAGCAGGAGCCATGAGTTGCTAGTCCAGCCTGGGCAGAAATTAAAGAAAAAAAAAGTATTAAAGGAGAAGCAGAGCCAAACACCAGTGGCTCATGCCTGTCGTCCTAGCTACTCGGGAGGCTGAGATCTGAGGGTCGCAGTTCAAAGCCATCCCTGGCAAGAAAGTATGTGAGACTCATCTCCAACAAACTGCTCAGAAAAAGCAGAAATGGCACTGTGGCTCAAGTGATAGAGCATAACCTTGAGCAAAAGAAGCTCAGCGAGAGCACTCAGGCCTTGAGTTCCAAGCCTGTGAGGAGAGAAGACACAATTATCATTTCATGGGATAATGGAAAATTACAGGCAGAGAAGCCCAAGTGTTTGCCAGGCAGCAGTAAGAGCCCCTTGAGTTGGTGACCATACCCTTAGAGTGTGTTGGGCAGCCTGCTTTTATTTGCTCCAGCTGTGTCAGTTCAGTGTGGAATGGTGAAATATTGGGCTTAACCAAAAAAATATTTCCCCTGGCCAAATTCTGACTGCAACCCTTTTACCTTCTGCCTGCCTGAGATATCAGATTTGCACCACACTACTCCACTTAGTTGAGATGGGGGAGTCTCACTCTCTTTCCCCCTTTATCTCTGCCTCCTGAGTAGCTGGGATTACATGTATAAGTCATTGAATTAGGCCTTGGTGGGCACTATTTGATAATGAGCCATCCAGGCACATCAGGGCATGGAAGAGTATGAATGATGCTTTCCATTTCATCTACCAAGTTCACCCCACCCCACCCCGGCTCTTTAGACCAAGACTGGCTTCTGGCACTGCCAAGGAAACTTGGTGTCACTGCTACTTGAACACCTGAACTCCAGAGTGCTTGCTCAGAAAATGTTGGGTGACATGTCTCTCCTATCTGCAGGAGTCCTGAGATAATTGCCACGCCAGCTGTCTGACTGAGAGACGATTAGAACAGTAGTCAAGACCAAAAGAGACCAAAAGAAACTCACTGTGGAACAATTCTGTTGAAATAATGCCTTTGAAAAAGAAAAGTTTAGCCATCCACCAGTGGCTCCACTCGTAATCCTAGCTACTTAGGAGGCTGTGATCTAGAAGATCATGGTTCAAAGCCAGACCAGGCAGAAAAGTCTGTAAGCTACCATTTCCCATTAGCCAGCAAAATACCAGAATTGAGGCATGGTTCAAGTGGTAGAGCTCCAGCCCTTAGCAAGAAAATGTGGGAAGGGAAAAAAAAAAGGCCAGAAGAAAATTTAACAGTCATTTGATTTTTAAGTTTTGTATTTTATTTCCCTTTTGGTGCTGGAGATGAAACCCAAGGCCTCAGAAGGCTAGGCAAGCACTCTGCCAGTGAGGTACCCATTTCTCAGCCCTTGAACTATGTAACTAGATTTTTTATTTTTTCTTTTCTTTTCAATTGTGGGGCTTGAACTCTGGGCCTGGGCACTATCCCTGAGCTCGTCAGCTCAAAGCAAGTGCTCTACCACTTGAGCCACAGTGGCACTTCCGGTTTTCTGTTGGTTTATAGGAGAAAAGAGTCTCATGGACTTTCCTGCCCCGGCTGACTTTGAACCAAGATCCTCAGATCTCAGCCTCCTGAGTAGCTAGGATTACAGGCTGAGCCACTGGCACCTGGCTTTAGATTTTAGATTTTTAATTTTTACACAAATTTAAAACAAAATTATGTCATTCCAGTACATTGTATCTTAGGACAATTCCTGCAAGGTTTTCCCTTCCCAGTCCTCCCCTCCCCTGCATCCACTCTGCCTCAAAATTAGTCACCTCTGCATGGTCCAACTCCACCCCATGAGCACATTGAACCGCACACAAATCCACAGATCGAGTTTATCGTCATAGGCAGCTGCCTCAACTTTTGTTTTAGCGGAAGTGGATCCTTGTTAAATACACCTTTGCAGCTCACTTGTCTGGTGGCCTTCAGTTCAGGATCTCTCTATACCCTCACACACAGTTGTGTGGTAGAAACGATTCTACCGTTTACTCGACTCTTGTGAAGAGACAAGTACTTGACTTTTGGTCTGTCTCACCCTGCCCCCCAAAAACAAGTGCTGTGTGTGCTCATGCACCGGGTGAGTGTCTGCTTAGATTCCCAGGGGAGGGTTGTATGCGAGGTATATCCGAAATCACGGTCCAAGAAGCTGGGGATGGGTGTCTGGAGTCCCCCCTCCCCCACCCCACCCTCACCCCGTCCGTCGTCCTGCCGGTCTGAGAAGTGCAAAGCAATATCCCGTCAGTCTAGTTTGCCTTTTCCTAGCAATGCATGCATTTTCTTTGTTAATGTTGGATTTGCTGAAGGATAGAAAATGCTTTTTTTTTAAACATCAATACTTACATTGGTTTGCTTTTTGTTTGGAAATTTGAACTCAGGGTCTTGAACTTGCTCTCCTGTTTGACCCACAGCTCCAGCCCTTCGTTGCCCTGGTTATTTTTGAGATGGAGTCTCTCTTTTGTCCAGTCTTTTCGTTTTTGATTCCCATGATACCTAGGATGGCAGGCATATACCACCACACAGCTTCTTCTGTTGAGAGGGAGTCTCATTTGGGCTGGCCTAGAATGCTATACTCCTAATTTCAGCCTTCCTTCCAAGGAGCTGGGATGATAGACATGTGCTACCATGCCCGGCTTCCTTTGTTTTAATTACATTTTTTTTGTCAGTTTTTGTAGGGCTTGAACTCAGGGCCTGGGCACTGTCCCTCAGCCTCTTCGTGCTCAAGGCTAGTGCTCTACCACTCGAACCACAGCACAACTTCCAGTTTTTGAGTGGTTAATTGGAAATAAAGAGTTTCACAGGTACTTTTCTGCCCAGGCTGGCTTTGAACGACAGTCCTCAGATCTCAGTCTCCTGAGTAGCTAGGATTACAGGTGTGAGTTACCAGTGCCCAGCTACATCAAAATTTTAATGTAATTAAGATGTAATTATTTTAAATGTAATACATAATGCGATACATTCAATGTAATATGTAAATCACTTCCTAAATCCATGCACAAAATGTGTTAATTGGTTATTCTTTTGCATAGTCTCTTCCTCATACAGTCTTCACAGATGAGACAGGAAGATTTTCCACCATCTCCCAGGGCTTGCAGCACTCAGATTCTCCTAGGATTTCCTGTTCTGGTTTTTAAAGGTTAGATGAAAGTCAGTTGTAAACTCATAGGTTCTGGAACTTTTTTCCTGCGGTCCCTTTAATTATCATCCCAACTGTGTCCATTGGAGCGTTCAACTTTTCCATTTCTTCTTACATCAATTTTGGTAACTGTTGATGATGTTGTTGTTGTCTTAACATCATTCAGGACTCATAATTTACTTTTAAAGTCTTTCTTTCCACAAAGAACCATTTTGAAACTGATTTCTCTTTGCTACTTGTTTTTCCTGTTCCACTGAATTGTTTTTTATCCCCTCCCCCCCCAACTCCTTGGCTTGGCTTGAATTATTTTATTGTGGTTTTCTGAATAGAATCGCCCCTTGGTATTCATGGGACATTGGTTCTAGGACCCCAACAAGCCTTAAAGTGTTCAGATACTCCAGAGCCTTATATTAAATGGCATAGTGTTTCCTTCAGCCCTTCAAGCTTTGCTGCTGCTGTTGTCTTTCATATACAATCTTGTCCTTTTTACCTTGTCTGACTTTAGAATGCAAACTTCCTACCTGTGCCTCCCGTGTAGCTGGGATTATAGGTGTATGCCACCAAATCCAGCTTAGCCAGACCTCATCTCCCACAGCCCTTACCCAAACAGAACCTCCATTAGAAGTCATTCCTGGGGGCCAGTGAAACTTCACACCTCTTGCTTATAGCAGCCCGACTCAACCAGCGCTCCTGGGTGCCCTGTCCTTGGAGGACACGATGAGGTCTGGACCACCCTCACCTGTAGAAGCCCTGGGTGAATGAGTTCCAGGGATAGAGGCAGGGTAGAGGCTCAGGGCACTGTAGGAGGAAACTTCCACCTTGGGGACAGGTTTTCTTCAGGAACACACAGAGACTTCAGAGACATTTGCCCAAGTGACAGAAAAGCAACTTCATTGGGAAGGAAAATCTTGGCTGACTGAGTGATCTCCTGTCTCCAGATGCTTCCACACACCGGACTTCCCAAACCTCATCCCCAGGAGTAGCCCAAGGAAAAGCAGCTCTGAGGAGGAGGCAGTGGCCTGAATCCAGGGAGGCTGGAGAGAATGAGGTCAAGAAGAAAGGGAGAGGAATGTGGAGTCCAGTGTTCGGAGCTGTTCTGAAGGCCAGGGCCTCCACTGGGGGTCACCTACCACAAGATGAGATGGGAGAGGTGATTTGGGGCTGGAGCCTGCTGAATTTCATGCACTGTGTCAGGGAAGGTTTGGTTTTGTTTTGTTTTGTTTGTGGTCCATTGTGGGTCTTGAACT